TACTCTGATTAGTATAAATTTAAGTAAGAGGAACTACAATAAAAAACTAAGCACTAAATAAGTTTCAATGTTAGCACTGATTTGAGTTTGCACTGTACTTTTTGGCAGAAATATAATGGCATTGGTTTGACACTTGTCGGGTACAAGTGCCCATTGGTAGTAGCCATTGAAAATGATCAATGACATGCCATTCATAAAAGACTGATAAAAAAACTTGGATCTGTATTTGATTGAAATTGTTTTGCATCAGGAACACGGTGTTCCTGATGCAAGGTTTTTTGAACTTTTAGAAAATTTCTGATTGTTATTTCTAAGATAGCTGCAATATCAGACTTCCCTAAGTTTTATACTATACTAAACGTCAAAATTAATATAGCTGACTATCAAGTACTGTTATGTTAAGAATGATCCGGTCATACAATGACCTCCTCTCCAGACGGGACATAAAAGAACTCATTCATTCTCTCGGATAGAATTTTGCAAAAAAAATTGTGGCTTTTTTTATTCTATCCTTTGAATGATTTTTTCACTACTCTCTCCATTTTTCCATTCTACAAAGTGTCTATCGTGTACACTACAAAGCAAAAAAAATTAGTATTTTTTCCTGTAAAATCCTTCATATCAGTGAGAAATTCAGCTTCATTTGAGATTTGTATACAACAATAGTTAACGGATTTTCGTATGAAAAAATGGTGGTAATTTCATGTTTACAAAATGTACGCTTAGTTTTGTGTACTACAGGAAACTTGGAGGTTGATTGAGAGGTTTCTCATGAATATATATTGAAAATTCGTTTGTTAATCGTATATATTATTCAAAAATAGTTTTAATTTCTAAATAAAATTCATTGATTATGCAATCATATATTTATATAGTTAATAGCTATTTTTCCAGTTAGGAAATGCGGAAATACCAAATACTTTTATCAAAAAAAGAGATAGATCAATATACAACAGTTTTTCTCCATAGTACATGAATGTTTTTTTACATTAAATAGTCAATCAATCGAATGATTTCCCTCTATGAATATTTTCTCGACGATCAACGATTTCGATATCGATTAGTTGATTATGATGATCAATATAAAGAGTTCGATTTTATTTTCTCTTTTAATATAAAACAAATTTTTCATTTTTAGGAAATTAATATTTATAATTGAGGAAAGTATAAATGAAAATTTTCTGGAGGAACAAAGGGTTCAACTACAGAAAGAAATTTTAACTGAGTACAATTGAATTCTGTTGCATTATTCGTAAAATGATTTGTTATGCTCGCTAGAAATTTTTCGTAATTTTTTAATTTTCCAACAATTGATAATCAATTCTTTTAGATCGTTATCTAAATGAGATGGTCCTTCTATTGATATTCTCATTAATTGTTCTAAATGTGCTGTTGTTAAACGATTTCGTAGATCAGTTAATATTCTATTCATTGTACTAAAATCACGTTCTACTGTTGCTGTACTAATTGGTGCACATAAAAATATTTCAGCAGCTAATGATAATTGTGGATACATTTCTCTTATCATCCCATTTTTAACTAAATTAATACACAGTTGTCGTTGTGTGAAAATTGTAGATGTTTGTTGTTGTTTTTGTACAAGTAAATATTTGCGAAATACTTTCCATTCGGCGAGTAAGTCATCATTAAAATCATTAGGATATTGTTGTTTGATTGTATTAATCTCATTGTTACCATATTGTTGTTCATTAGTTACTTCAGACACATCAAATATATGAAAACAATTGAGGAATTTTAATACATTTGATTCAAATCGAGCTTTTATATTTAATATAATTTTATCAATAAATTTAACTATTTTATTATCAAATATTTGTTCTAAACTAATTTCATTTCTTGTTGTTGTTGAACGTGTTATACGATTACGATTATTAGATAATGATGTCTTTCTTTTATCAACAATCTCAAATATTTGTTTATATTCAGTAATATTGATGTCTTTCAGTTCTTCTAATCGTAACAATGTTCCAAACATTGATTGTTCAAGTTGTTTAAAAGCACCATTTTTGTTTGTATGGATTTCGATAATATTGAAATAAGAATTGGCTCTAAACTATGCAATATGAATGTTGTCGATTGATCTTGTAAAATTGAAAGCAGACCCGATGCATCTGGACTTTGTTCGCCTCTTTCATTAGCTATATGTTCCAATGTTATCATTAGTGGTTCATAACAACGAATAACAGCATT